ACCTCTCCACTACATCCCAGATCTGCACAGCGAGATACAAAGACAATCACAGATTGCATTTGAGGAAAAGCTTCTTCTGAGAGTCTGCGACTGGATTAGATTTAAAAATATCCACCGCAAGTGACAGAAAAACAGCTTGAATCAAATAACAGTGACTGGAAATGATCCTTAGAGAAAAAGATGCATCAGAGCTAATATTTTAGCTTTTCATTAGCAAGTTTTGATGGAAATAAACTTTTACTGTAAGTTCTGATTGAGTCACACTAATCATCTACTGTTTTCCTGCTCACAAACATTAATCTAAATTTGACATATGAAAATATGCAAAGGAGGGCTGGGTTATAAAGAAAAAAGATATATCGATAAAATAAATTAATATTGATCAATATCAGTAATGTTACGTCCCGACAGGAGATGTTAAAATGTGAAGGAGGAGGTAACATAAGAAATGCGACAGTGGAGTTAAAATGGGTTTAATTGTTATAAAAGGTAAAAGTAATTATTGATAACTTAAAAAATGTTGAAAACATCTGAAGTGCATGTCCGGTTTGAGAGGTGAGGGCTTTGTGACAGAGCTTGCACTGGTTTGTGTTTTTGGTTGAAAGTAAGTAATGACTTTATACCGATGGGCTATAATGTTTATAGAATGGACACTTTTTTATAAAATGTTATTGACTCGTTTTTTCCTATTTCACAACACATTTATCAATATGTATTTATCATTATGGACTTATTGTCTAGCACTAATTCAAGACATGCATTAATCAGTAAAAAACCTTAATAAAAGTGATTATGTCTCAACTGAACAATACTTTACACACATCTGTGTGCTGTTCTAAGTCAGGGACTCCAAAGTGCTTTATAGTACAATCATTCATTCACACTCAAAAATACAACGTAGCTACAGCTGCCCTAGAGCACACCGACAGAAGTGAGGCTGCTGTACACAGTCCCTCTGATCACCACCAGCAGGCAAGCACAGACAAAAGTCATGCCCACAGACACAACGACTGACACGGGCAGTGCATGGGCTTGAACCAGCAACCTACTGATCATAGGGCGACTCCACCACTTGAGCCACCGTTGCTCCTTATTTCCCTGTTATTCCATCTGATTACTTTACATATAGAAATATCCAAAATCATGCAATTTATGTTGTTTGTTATAATGACTTATTTTTACTGTCTGGTTCAGGAAAGGTAGGGATCTGGAAAGACATGGGCAAGTTTTGAATTTCCTTAATGAATGTTGATTTTCAGTTTGCCTCCAACAGTCCCACAAATGTGAACCTGATAATTGTGATAAAAAGAGTCATAAACATGTGCAGATATTTGATGCGTTCACCTAATGTTATCGAACAGCTTATGAATGAAAAAGTGAAGTGTGAAATTGTAATTGTATCAAAAAATGTCAGTTTTTGTGACAAGGAGGTTTGAGACGGGGAAAACAAAACTCTGCCGAAGTTCAGGAGGTTACACCACAAAAATGAGACATAATCAGGGCGCCACCTCGTTATCGCCAGGCCTTCCACATTAGCCATCAGCCCGTCAGCACGCTGCTGGAACATGCTCGGGACCTCGTTAAGTGCAGAGTCCCAAGCTTCATTCATTACCTAATTGGTTGCTGCGAACCTGGATCCCTGAAGCAAAAACACGAGCTCTGCCGCCTCGTCCTTCGGCGTGGGCTGCCGGTTCATCCGAGGCTCTGCGTGCCAAAGTGTCACAAACAATGGCTTCTCTGTGTCCCTCTTATTGTGTAACAGGCAATTATCAGTGTAAACCAGAGCCGATTATTTCAGCCTGCTCCAGCAGTTGTAGTCTAAATGTTTTTTGCTTTTTGGCCTTTACTGGGAAAACCTGCGTGTTAACTGTTAATAGGCTAATTACAACTGTGCAAGCAGCCAGGTTTGAGCCGCATTAAAGACAGAGCTGCGAGTTTCACTCACAGAGGAAAATCAGTTGGAAAAGCTGCCGTAGCTTATTATGATGGCCAATGCAGCTGTTAGTGGATAAACAGTTCCTTTCAAAACAAACCCTCTGTCCAATCAGAGTGTGTCCTCTCTACGGGAAGGATACAAACACACAGGTGGAAATAAAGCTGCGTGGGACTCAGATTAAATTTACTCCAACATTCGTTTGGGATTCACTACTGAGGTTACCCGCCTATTAAGGTTTAGACCTTGAATACTTTGTTTTTGGTGTGAAAATGTAATCTGTTGAGGTGGAGTCGATGAGGATGTTGGCTTTCAGCATTATACTATTTGCTCCAGTCAATTTTGATCTGTTGTTAACCAGAGACTTGGTTTTGTTATGTTTTTATGTAATTATCATTTTAATTGCATATACAGATGTAGACTAAATTGTTGGTACTCTTCAGCCAATGGAAGAAAAACCCATAATGGTCACAGAAATAACTTGAATCTTACAAAAGTAAAAATAAAATAAAATAAAAAGTTTTATGACATTTAACCAATTAAAGTCAGACATTGCTTTTCAACCATGCTTCAAATACAGTCATGGAACAGGCCTGGACAAAAGTAAAGGTGCTCCTAACTTAATATTTTGTTGCACCTTTTGAGACAATGATTGCAATCAAGTGATTCCTGTAACTGTCAATGTGACTTCTCCCCCTCCTCAGGAGCAAACTGCTCCAGTTGTCTCAGGTTTGAAGGGTGCCTTTTCCAGGTGACATGTTTGAGCTCCTTCCAAAGATGCTCCATAGGACTGAGGGTTAGGGTTAGGGTTAGGGTGGTCGGAGGGACCAGTGGTGCCAGTGTCCGGCAGCCTTACCTCTGTCAGTGCGCCCCAGGGCAGCTGTGGCTACATTGTAGCTCATCACCAGTGTGTGAATGTGAGTGTGAATGACTAGAGCTGTTTTTACAGGATCATAGTGTTTGCAAAACGGGATTTGTCGCGGCTCCCTGGAGAGGATACATTTTTTTATAAGATCAGACCGTGGTGGTAATGTGGCACAATTGTGGCAATTTTATAAAAGATTAGGCGATGGCGGCATTAAGGGGGTATGGCGGCAGTCTCTGCGCTGCCTCAGACTTCCGTTTATCTTGGACATAACTTGCTTTTTATTGTGATTGAAGCCGTGATTGTTACATTTTTTTAAACAAGCAGCTCCTAAAGGTGTCTGTCCCAATCAGTCCCTGTGCAGTCTCTGGTGATCTGAGCTTCAGCTCTAACAGAGAGGCTTATGGAGCGCTGCGGCACTCCAGGTGGCCATCTCAGCTGATTGTGTTCAAAAAGCAAACCTTACTGCCTGTGTTTACTTTTCTTTTCAATAAATTTGCCAGCCGAAGCTCAGCAATAACTCCCCACGTCATCATGACATCTGCCTCTGTTGCGCCAGGGTGTGTACCATTACCATTACCACAATATTACTACCAAGCGAGGTGGAACGAATGCCGCAAAATTTGTGCAATGCCATGCTAGCATGGCACGTTTTTAGACATATCATTGCGGTAATATTACGCCGATTTGCCGGCATGGTGTGTCTTGTAAAAAGGGCTTAAATGTTTTGTGAAGCGCCTTGGGGGGTTGAAGAACTCTAAGATGGCACTATACAAATAAAGGCCAGTTACCATTTCTTTAAGTGTTGATGCTGCTGTAGCAAGTGCATTTCCCCACTGTGGGATCAATAAAGTCTATCATATTCTATTATCAATGATTATGCTGAATTATTGTTCATCAGCTCTCAGCTTACCTGTTCCTCTTTTTGATCACCTCTCTCAGTATACAATGCCCTCCAGTTCATGCACCACTTGTCAGAACCCACTTTTGCTTTAGCCCCCAGTTAACAGCAAAAGGTTAAACATCCAAGTCATGATTTACAAGAGTTTAAAAGACTTTTGGGTGGTCTCATATCTGAGTTGTGAGGATGATCGTCACCTTCAGAGAGAAATTTCTTTACTTTGATCATCCGGTCTCCATCATCACTCCAACGTCCATGTTGGCGACGTCTACTCTCAGGCCTGCAGAGAGAAGTGTCCTTTCTACCGCAAAGGTTAATAATTCTGCTCTGACTCAACGGGATCCGTCTCGCCACCGACGCCATGATTTAATCAAGCGGAAGGAGAGGTGAGGCTCAGCGCTGCCGTTCCAGCCAGCCTGACCGGATCACACAGACTGAAAAAACAGAAAGACCCTTAGGACGGACAGAAAGAAGAACAGGAAATGAAACAAAAGCAGGACACAGAAACTCCATGAGGTTATTGTTGAAACTAGCTGCTCAAACTTATGTTTATGTATTCCAAAGGCAAAAATCATTTGCAATCATTAACTTTTGTCTTTTCAATTTGTGTCAAGTTTTCAAACCACTCTTTTCCAGTTCAACTTTATTTTTAGTTATTTTATATCACATTGTAAGTGTATGTAACCTGCCTTCAAGAGGGATTTATGAGGATGTTAATAATAAAGACAACAGAAAAGAAAGTACTCTACAGGAGTTTATTATCTGTTGAAAACATGTGTTCAAAGCAAAATTGTTACCGATACATTTTAATCTGAATAGATGTTTTTCATTTTTTACTTTGACAAAAACTATTTCCTGTTGATCTATCAGATATGTTGATACTGTAGTTTGTTGAGCCCAAAGTCTTTAGACAAATTATTTTAAATAATAAAGTGACGTTTCTGCAAAGAAAAAATACACTCTAAGAAATGAAACATGGGCTTTTTAAAAATTAATTCATAGTTTTATGTTCAATATACTTAAATTTTTTAATCTTAAGGGTGTAATTAATATTTTTAAATTTCATTTAATTAATTGTAAACCGTTCTAATGTTAAATAATATTGATGTTTCCAATTTATTGAACACTTTTAATTCAATCCAAAGAGCCCTTTCCACATCCTTTCTGAGCATGCGCAGAGAATGGGAAAAAAAATCTTCGCGCAGGCGCATTGACCTTCTTCATCTACGCCATACTGTTCTTTGGCCTCGTGTCTGGAAAGAGGGATTAATCACGATTCATCCGTTGGAGTTAAGGTAATTTCTTCCTATTTTTAATAGAATATAATTTAACTAGTACTTTGTGATAATGTATGGCGTATATTTTTCCGGTGAATATGTGGGCCGTATGTGTTCTGTAGGTTGTAGCATTTTGCTAGCATTGGAAACATTCATTAGCATATTCAACGTTACTGCACATCTGCATTTAAAATTTCATTCGAACTCCGAATAGCACACTTATTTTATTTGTTTTATTGCTCTATCAACGTTAGCCCGAACAAGAATTGGGATACATGTGCAGTGATTGTTGTTGAGTCCATACTCGTCTGTTTCACTGAAGAGAACCGCGAGCTGGTAGTTTGCAGTGAGTCTCAAAGAGACCTCTGAAGGTGACCCCCAATTGCCCCCAAAAATAAAATCAAGTATACTGGGTGGTTAGTGCTTCGTTTGTTTCGGTTTGTGCTGGTAAAATCATCGTTTCTATCGCTTCGGTGTCAAAGATATTGCACTTTTATTTAATAGGTCATTCAGAGTTCACCAGCCCCCGGCCAAAATCCGTGGAGTCTTGAAAAGTATTAAAAGGTGATAAATCAATTTCAGAAAAATTAAGACCCTTAAAAGTATTAAAGTCTTATCACGGCTTTATAAAGTCTTAAATTTTGAGATTTTTTTCTGAATTAGCCAACAGTTTGTTTTAGTTTTATTTTTTAAGGAACCGAGGGAGGGAGCATAAAAGATGAAAAAAAAAAAAACTAAGCTGTTGTGGGTGTTTTTCTCTCAGAGCACCAGGGTGGACGGGGTGGAAGCTCAAAAGTGCAAAGAACGCTCTGGTGTTCCCGGTGCATATTACGAACGCACCTAAATGTTAAGACGGAAGAGAATGTTGGTGAACGTGAACGCACAACGAAAATGGGGAAGTGCAAGTTTGCAGCGTCCTGGCTGGATATCCTGGATTTCAAAGAATGGCTGCAGCCAGTCGAGGGGAGCGTGAGGGAGGCATACTGTACGATATGCAAGAATTAAATAAGTTTCGTGTCAATGGGCATAAACTCCTTAAAGTCGCACATGTGTTGTGCTAGCCACAAAGCTGCTGCTAGCCGCCGAGAGCGGCAGCTACCCATCGCTAGCTTCTGTGGAAATCGTGTTGAACCACCACAACATAGTCCCAACGTAACGTCGCTCCACGATCGACAGTCGCACCTAGAGCCGGTCTGTCTCTGCTTCCTCATCTTCTGCAGCCGTTATCAGAGTGGCTCTGGGCAGCACAGCGACGCTGCATGCTGAGGTGTTAATAGTGTCTCCACACAGCGGAAAAACACCATTCCCTGAACTCAAATGAAAACTTGGCTGAAGTTTTCAAGGCTATGTTTCCAGATTCGGACATAGCGAAGTTGTTCACTTGTGGCAAGGACAAAACTGGATACATCATGTGATTCGGGTTAGCACAGGGGCGTGAACTCTGAATGACCTATTACATAAAAGTGTAATATCTTTGACACCTGTAGCGATACAAACGATGATTTTACCAGCACAAACCAACACAAAAGGAGCATTAACCACCCATACTTGATTTTATTTTGGGGGGCAAGTGGGTCATGTTCACAGACTGGGCTGCTCCGGCATATAATGGTAACCCTGCTCACAGGAACAGATTTATGAAATGAGTAATAGAAATTTTGGAGCATTTGAAATTTAGCTTGTATTATTAATACATTTTAAAAGAAACAGGAGTGTTCTTAAGTTTAGATCGTCTCTGTGCTACCCCTTTGCATGTGTCTCACTGTACACAATTAATTTTTTCTTGTTTTCTTTTTCTCTGAGGTTGCTGGTTGTGGAATTTTGGAGCTGCAGAGATTTGAGCTGTGCTCCAAAAGTGCATGTTGAAGGTACCAAATGCTTTCATATTATTTACTTTTTCCTTAATACACAATTTTAAATTTTGAATTCTCTTATTTGGTCTTTCAGGTTATGAATGTGGTGTTGTAAGCTTTGCTCTTTAAGTGTATCTAAAAGGTACCAAATTCTAAAACACTTGAGACTTAAACACTCGATTCTTGGTCTGAGACGCTCATATCCGTGCATTTACAGTCATTGCCCTTGTACTTTCAAAACATGGGGTGGTCTTAGGACTCATCTAAGTCGTACACATGGTGCTAAGCCCTCTCACACTGTAGAACGTGTTATATTGACTTGTCCTTCTTGTCCTGAAAGCCACATACCAACAAGCAGAGAATACTTCCTCCATATTAATAAACATCTCAAGAGGTTGGAGACAGTAGATTGTGTTTATCAAAATTGTTCTTTCAAAACTAATGTGTATGGTACTTTCCAGACACACAAGAGTAGAAAACATTCTTCATGCACGCTCAGAGATTTCAAAAATGAAATAGTGAAAAGAACTGAATTTACAAGTAATAATGATCTTTCTGAGGAGTCTGCAGATGAAGGGCCCCCTGACTTGGATTGTGAAGCTGGTGTAGTTGGTGAAAATTTGGAGGAAGCTGTAGTTAAAAACCTTGCCTTGGTTTTGTTAAAGTTGGAGGTCTTTTCACATGTACCAACATCAGCAATTGACAATTTACTCGAGGGGCTACATTTTCTATTCACTACTTCTGCTTTACCCTTAACAAATAGCTTAACTTTGGCCGTTCTCAAGGAGCATAATATTGAGGTTAGTTCATCGCTAGTGAATGAGTTGTGCACTGCATTATACACTGGAAATCCACTACTTAGAAGTATTGCAAAAGGAGGGTCACTTGAAACAACATTTAAGCGCAAGAAGTTTTACTATGAAAAGTTTAATGTTGTTGAGCCAGAGGAATATGTTCTAGAGGAAACAACAAAAAAAAACTTTCAATATATTCCACTGCTAAAGTTATTGGAGCAGTTACTTCAACGTGAAGATATTGTTGGAAAGCTAGTTGAAAACTATAAAAGGAGTCACTCAAATTCACAACTGCTTACATGTTTTCAGGACGGTGAGAATCAGAAGAACAATATTTTTTTTTCAAGTGAAGAGCTCAGAATTTCATTATGCCTATATATTGATGATTTTGAAGTGTGCAACCCACTAGGAACATCTAGAAAAAAACATAAACTTTGTGCGGTTTATTGGATTCTGGGCAACTTGCCTTCTGGTTGCAGCTCAGCCCTTTCTTCAATCTACTTGGCACTGTTGTGTAAAAGTGAATTAATTAAATCTTTCGGTTATGAAAAAGTACTTGAGCCTCTGCTGCGTGATTTAGTCAGACTTGAGAAGCAAGGTTTATTCGTGCCCCTCCTTGGTTCATTTATCAAGGGTACAGTTCAGTGTGTCGTTGCTGATAATCTGGGGGCCCATGGGCTTGGAGGATTTGTGGAGAATTTTTCAGCTAATTATTTTTGTCGTTTCTGTACAGCCCAGCTTTCTGATATAAATACGTGTGAGGTAAAGACAGGATCATTTGAACGAAGAACAAAGGAAAATCATCGGCTTCATGTCAAGACTGCTCAAGAACAAGGTGTGAACTGTTTAGGTGTAAGAAAATCGTGTGTTTTAACGGATAACCTCTCGTATTTTAATGTTGTTACTGGTTACCCTCCCGACATTGTGCACGATTTCTTTGAAGGAATTGTTCCTGTCGAGTTGGCCCAGTGTATTGACCATCTTGTGTCAAAAAAGTATTTTTCTCTCGAACAACTGAACAATCGTATTCGTTCTTTTCCTTACAAGGAAGGAGATAAAACTAATCGCCCCACTGTGTTATCAAAAGCTGTAAGTAAGAAGAAGAGACGTTCTCTTGGGGGTAACGCACATGAAAACTGGTGTCTTATTCGCTTGCTTCCTTTTATCATTGGGCCAAATGTCCCTGCTGATGAACCAGCCTGGCTGGTTATTTTAGACTTAAAAGATATTGTCGAGCTTGTAGTAGCTCCTGTCCACAGTCTTCAATCTGTTGCATATTTGGAATGTAAGGTCTCAGAGCACCGAAAGCGTTACCAACAACTATTTCCTAACCAAAAACTGATGCCTAAACACCACTTTATTGAGCACTATGCAGAAATGATCAAATGTTTCGGTCCTCTTGTGTCGTTATGGACGATGAGATTTGAGGCCAAGCATAGTTTCTTCAAACAGGCTGTTCGGAACATCAAAAGCTTCAGAAACATAGCCGGCTCTTTAGCTCGTAAACATCAGTTAATGGTTGCATATAGAATGCTTTGTCCTGATGATGAAAACTCTACAGATGTTACTCGCGTGACAGAAGTGCCGTTGGATGTCCTTAAAGACAATGTTGTGAAAAGTATCACTAACAAACATCCAGACGTGACTGCTGTTAACTTAGCCACTGGCGGTTTTGTGAACAATATTCAGTACAAAAAGGGGATGATTGTTGTGCACGGATCATGTGGTGGTCTACCAGATTTCTGTGAAATTCAACATTTGTGCATTATTAAAAAAGAGACCCTCCTTATTCTGAAAAGACTAAATTCATGGTACATGGAGCACTATAGGGCTTTTCACCTACAAACAACAACAGATGTTGTTGTTGTATCCATGACAGAGTTGGCCGACCCATACCCCCTATGCGACTATGAAGTTGGACACTTGCGGATGGTCACCTTAAAAAGACATATTCACATTGGTAATTGTTTTATTTTTTTTCACTCATTGTTCGGTAAACAAACATTTGTGGCAACAAGTAAGTTTAATACAAATAAAACTGTCATGTTTTTTAGACTATTGAGTAGTGTTTCATGATCCAGGAATTATCCATGTATGTATTTAGAAATATTGTCTGCTGGACAGTATTTCTTAAAAAAAATCCCTAAGGATAATCTATACACTGGTCTTGTTTTTCAGCTTGAAGAATGGCTGCTACTTTGAGGGTGATACTTGGAGTGGACAATTCATCCAAGTTGGTGCTTCCATCTGGAATCCCTGGTTCAGTGGACATTTTAAAAGAGGAAATACAAAGACAGTTTGGATTGACTGAAGATTTCAGGCTTCAATATAGAGATGTTGAGTTTGACAATGAATACATGAATCTAACCACAACTGGGGACATTAAAGACAAGAGTACAATCAAAGTAATTTACACTCAAAACTCTGAGCCGTCCACTGTGCCCACCACAGCACCCACAGCTGTCTCCAGAGAGACATTACCACAGTTTAATGCGCCATCCTTGCCAGACACTGACATCCTTTCCTCCTCAGACTCCAGTTCCTCTTGTTCATCTCTTCGCGTGCGGAAATGGCCCTTAAACTTTCCAATACCAACGTTTAGTTTTGATGTGGATTTTCAGTTACACAGAGCCCAGCAAGAATATGAAAACAATGGGACTCTCTTAGACCCGAGCCCAAAACTCAAATCTGACATATTAGATATGTTAGCATCAGAAATTGCAAAATACAAAGTTTATCCATCAAGTGGAGATATTGATGATGTCGCTAAAGCGTTAATTCAAAAATATCCCTTTCTCAAAGAGAACGGATCTGTGACTGGCTGTGAAGGCTGGAAAGTAAGCCTAAAATACAAAATGGCCAATTACCGGACAACACTGAGAAACATAGGGTGCCCAGAGGTGGCAATAAACACTCTACAACACAAGAGAGAACGAGAGGAGAGTCCACGTCGAAACAACGTCAAAAAGCCACGGAAAGCAGAAGTGAACTTTTTACCACAATACCCTGCAGGAGAAACAAACAAAAGTCTGGAGGAAGAACGACAAGCACTACTGATTGAGGTGAAGAAAACAAACAACGATCAAATAATCAAAATAAAGATGGATAAGACGTTTGCACACAGAAGAAGAGAGGTGATTGAAGAGATGCCATTCATCGCAGAGTTCAAGAGCAGATGGCCGGCCCTCTTCAAAGTACCCGAGGTATGTATGAGTTTGAGTCCTGGTTTAAAACTGGCCGTGAACAGAAAAGTACTGCTACAAAGGTGATGTCACCGAGCTGATGTCTTTTCAGCTTAGTTGTGTTGTGAGAAAGGCATCACCAGTGGAATGAAAAATTTTGGGAAAACTTTGCTAACATTTGATTTTATTTTATTGATTAGCATTCAAATATCTCAGTGAAGACAGAATAAAGATTATCACAAAGCAAGAAAGCATGAGACAAGGCTAATCAAAAGGTATTGGCTGAAGCATTTGCTTATTACGCCAACCCTTTTAACAAAAAATCTTTTTGCATGCAACTACTGTACACAGAGCTCGGAAACATAAAACAAAGCCAAAACAGACAAACCAAAAAAAAAAAAACTTTCCACCTTAGATAAATAACTACATCAAAGCAAAACAATCAAGTTGTTTTTTTGTTTTTGTTTTTTTGCTCTTTTCATTCTTGATTTATATATTTCTCTAATACTCTATTTTATCATGATACACGTCAGTTTCATTTTACAACTAAAGTGCAAAATCGTACTGCATGCGTGAGGCACTCTTTTGCAGCCACCTGATTGTGCCAGTCCATCTATAAATGTTTTGGGTGGCATATTGGAATAACTTTTCTGTCTATTAAAAAATATTTTTTTTTTCGTAATTGATTTTGGCACATTCCCATCTGATGAATCGATTTTTTTCCCCCTTTTTCTTTCTTTAAATCAAACCTGGACAGCACCAGAACTTTTTGTCTGGTATTAGATCAGGTTTGGTCTGATTTAGTCCTGTTTTTAGCTGAACAATTAAAAAATTTTTATTTTTGAACTTTGTAGATCAATGCGGAGTTCACCCGAATCGCCACAGTTCCACTGCTGTCCACATTCATGAGAAGTCTTGACCAGTACTCTAACCAGTTGATGAAGATTCTACGAAAAAAAGGAGGGGAAACAGCACGGCAGATCACAGCAGCGTTGTCTGCAATTTCACAGGTATTCTGTCTTGTTAAAATGTTCTGTAACTAATAGATTAGTTGCAGGTTGATCTCAGATCTGGTTATGAACCTGTATTTTTAACTTTCTTGGGTTATTTTATGCTTGTTCTCTCCTCCTTCTCATCTCGCTTTTGGCTTATATTCTGGATTTGGTCCTGACACAAAGCAGAGCTAAGTAACTCATGCCCCTAGAGGCCATAAGTGCCGCTGCTGGCATTGCAGCTCTTTCCTTTTTTTGTTACTCATTAATTGTCCAAAGGAATAATTAGCTACACTGAGAAAAGACAAAGGCAGAGGACATTTCACATTTCGCCACAACTCAGTGACACAATAGATTATTTTTTCTTCACTCAAACTAGGTATAAATACTGCAACTGTGGAGGTAGCCCGCATACCTCATATTAACGTGACAGTGTAGTTTTTGTCATTAATTTTTGGAAATATCCATCAAAATGTTTTTGATTCCTTTGAACAACACTCCTAAGCAACAACACTTTTCTTCCTTCTTTTGGGTGGTACACCATGCTAAAGCTGCATTTCCCGCAACCCAATGTATCGCAATCAGTGTAATTGGACTCTAAACTTAAAATCTTTATGGGAATGAATTGGTAAGCTTCTCATTCTCTTAACACAAAATAGTACTTGCTTGCAAAAAGCATGTTTAAAATTACTTAGAAAAAATTATGAATTGGTTAAACAATAATAAAAATTGACTTGAGTTCTGTGGGGGTCTCTAAAAACTTCAAAAAAGTAATTGCTCTGCATGTGTCGTTTTGTTTAGAGTTCCCGAATCGAAGTGAAGCGTGAATGCATCCTTAAAGCTGTGATTATATACCTGAATGAGAACCCTGAAAATCTCATCAAAGAGTACATGGTAAGTTCATTTTTAAAAGGATATTCCACCCCTCAGTAAAATTTTGACTGTCATAATTCCCAGCGTTTTGTAAGTTGAAAAATGTATTTTCTAAACAAGCCCAGGTATTCTCCTGATCTGGCAGCAATCAGTTTTCTTTAAATTAGCTTACAACAGTAAAGTGCATGGGAACTACTAGGATTTTCTTTCCATTCACCTAAATTGTTTTATGCGAAACTAAAGAAAATAACCCTGGTCAGCAGAATATTGATAATATTATTGATGCATTCTCCTTCTGCCCTCTCCATGTTTCATGTATCTTCTTCTTGGTCTTTATTTGGTGATAGTCTTAAATCCACATCTTTCTTTGGTCTGTTCTTCTCAGTCTCATTCAAGGATATGTGTAATTAGGGTAGTGTGTACCATTTTAACTAAAATGGAGTGAATAGATAGATGTTGCGATGACCAAAATACAACAGATTTAATATATTTCTATCCTTTTCAGGATTGCAACGTGATGGAAGCTGATGAGCTCGAGAGGATGGATTTGGGTGTTTATAAAATAATCCACGAAGGAGCACAGCCTGATGACTCCCTTGAAGATGTTGGCATCATTATCGAGAGATGCACCGTCTTGCAGGATCTTCACGATGTGGCGAGCGGGTGTGCACTTTTGTTTGGGCTAATCTACTGCCTCAATCTGAGTTACCCAAAGCCACTTCGCTACACATTTGAGTTCTTCCAGAAGGTGCTCATGGGCCTGGAAGACAAAAAACTGTCTAACAAAATCCAAGTGCTGAAGAACAAACTCTGCCAAAAGGAGACACAATGACTCTTCTAAAAAAAAAATGTCCCCCAAAATAAGTGCTCTGTTTTCTTGCAGAGTAAAAATGTTACAGTTTAAAAGTTTATAAATACATATATGTTGATCCTTGTTTGTAAATATTTTTTCAGCACTTTTAATGTTTAAGAGATTTACTGAATGCCATTTTTCTTTTGATTGTGGAAAAGAAAACACATTTCAGAAACTGAGTTTTTTTAAACTGGGGACAAAATTACCCAGATTGATTTTTGTTGTTGTTGTTGTTTCACTTTAACATTTCTGCAGTTTGAGTTACTGTGGTAATTCTGCAGACTGTAGCCATTGCAGACCTACAACTGTACTACACTGCACTGTCACTTGGTTGAAACTGGAAAGTTGTTTCAAATGTTTACATTTTGTTTTAGGCACTTCATTTAATGTTGCATTATGCAGTGTTTTTTCCATGTTTAAGCTTTGGCTCATTGAAAGCTATTGTTCAAGTTGTTAAAGCAACACAATTTTTTTCTCTTGTATTTATACTTAGTTTTAGCTCTGGTGTACCAAGTTTCCATTGCAGGTCAAGGATATTGAGTTTTATAAATGTTAAAGTATGTGTGCACAAAAATGTGAAAGGTTGTCACCTGTACTCAAATGAAGTGCTGGATTTTTGGGCCTAGTATTAAGAATGTTGTGAGATTTGCTACATGCATTTTTTTTTTTTTTTGTTAGAAATACCAAAGTTATAGTTCTGAATCTGATTTTTGGAACTGGGGACTAAATCGTCCAGATTAACCTTTTTGTGTCATTTAAGTATTTTATGTAATTGGATTGCTGTGATAGATCTGCAGATCTGACTATAATCAAATGTATTGAATTCGGCATCCTACGGCACACTACAGTGTCACTTTGTTAAAACTTAAATGTTGCTTCCAATGTTGCTCCATTTAATATTGCCTTATGCGGTGTTGTTCCCTGTAGAAGCTTTGCCTTGCTTATCGTTAATAAAGTTGTTGGTGCAGCACCCTTTTTTTTTTCTTTTTGCATTGACACTTTATGTAAGCTTTGGTGTAAAAGAGTTTTCTATTGTAGGTCAAGGATCTTGAATGTTATAAATGGTAACATGTGAGCAAGTGTAAAACGGTTCTTGAGTTGTCACCTGTACTGTAGTTAAGTTTTGGACCTTTTGCTGAAGACCTCTTAAGTTCCAAACACCTAATTACAATGTATAGATGACAACTCAGGAATTTTTCTAGACTTGTTTTGATGATACCTAAACATTTAGCATATAGATGAAACTATTCATTAAATCATAATTAATCAAATTAATTAGGTCCAAAGCACAATGTAAATGGTGCCATTAAATTAAAATTAATATTGTCAATTGAACCTAAAGCAATACAGTTAATACAATGAACAAAGTGTTTAAATTCAAATTAATGGTGTTAAATAGTGACAATGAAAGGAAAGCTGTTGCTTTTATATAACAATTTCACTTCTGGTATACATCACCATTGAAATTGCAGACAACAACCATATTGATTTATGTTTAATTGACCAAGTTTTGTGGAAAAGATTGCCTTAACTTTGTCAATTAAATCCAACGTTTTATTTCTTAGAGTGTAGACAGTATGACATATATAAAGCACTTCTATGGTTTTTTTTACTGTGTGTGTACATTTTCTGCATCAAAACTTCAAAAAATAACTTATTTGTTTTAATCACAAATCAACCCCTTTTACCCTAGCTTACCCAAAGCACTGTTTAATTAATTTTATCTTAAAAATTCTAATGTTGTCATCTTATAAATACAAAATAATGACATAATTATTTTTCTGCACTTTTTTTAAGTTGGCTGTTGATTTTTTAATTCTTACTTTTTATCATTCAAGTTCAGTGCAAACTTCAATGTCATTAATCATCTTCAGTATAATAGAATATCAAAGTTGAGTAAAGGTTTATAAAATAACTTAAATGATTCATACATGTTAGTATTGGCTGCACCATAACTACGCTTAAGGCTCATCAGTTTTGAAATCAGTCTATTTTTTTAGAACAGTGGCTGTTAAGATAAATGATTGTAGGATTTAAATTATTAAGAGATGCACTTTTGACCGATGTGTAAAAGAAAGGTACTGAGGACATGTGCGAGGAGTGAGAGCAATAAATCATCTGAATCAAAAACAAATTAACTCTAGGAAACCAAAATGACTAAAGACCTATTACTTCCACATGATCGTACACCCCCACCAGAGAAGATTAAAGATCTGCAGGTTTTATTTTTAGATGATGTGGTTCGTGTCTCTTAGCTTTCAGTCTCCTCTGATGGTCAGGAGAACATTACACATCTCTAATGATGTCAACAAATGACCTCACAGCTGCTGTTAACCTAATCTGCAGCCAGAACACAATCCAGAGACAAAACCCACACCACTTCTCAGGAGGTGTTATTTAAACTGGGCCGGTCCTGGCACTGACCTGAACAGAGCTGGCTGCACACGGCGACAGCCAACATCACTCCTCCCTGTTCCTGAACAAAGTGTTGGCAGACAGAGTTCGTCCGCCATGCCAAACAGAGAGGAGAGCATTTGAAGTTCACAACCTGCATGATGTGCAGTGACCTACGATGATAACACTGATGGTTTTGATCTTTGGAAAAGGAAACAAAATAAAGTGTTTGACCTCAATTTCTAACTGGTTTTCTTCTGTTTCCTACTAAGGAGCATTCATGCCACAGCCATTAAAACAAGGTTCTAGTGTTGAGATTAATTAATATTAATATATATTAATTAATATTATGCCAGAAATATTTGTCCATGTACATGTTCACATTGTTACCTGATGTTGTTACATCAGGTGACAACAGCAAGTATCAATATCAGGTAAAAACATCATGGGTTGTCTGGGTTGTTAATTTTACAACCCATACATCACAAGATCTCTCAGATACCTACAAGGTTTTGCTAAAACATCTAGCTTACATTCCATTGTTTCATCCATGTTGTCTGTTATCTGTACAACCATAATTTCATTCATATTTTGTCATGTACAATCACTTAGTTCAGGAAAATACAATTTAATTCATTTTTATTAACTTTATCCTTTACTCTGTCTGAATTAATATGAAGTGTGTGTTTCCTGAATAGTCAAAAAGCTTAAAGGAATATTAGGTCAAATATTAAATGACACAAAAGTTCATATTTCCTATTTATATGGAATGTCACATCTTGTTGATCATTTAACAAATAATGTAGCTAATATTCACCTCTACAGGGTGCAGTAGTGGCGCTGTAGATGACAGCGGCGTCTTGACCATTCACAAGTTTACGTTCTCCATCTCGATGTACGGATGTTTAGAAAAGAGAGATTGACTCCATCCATCCTTGCGAGCCTGTTGGAGGAGGGATAACGGTGATGTGTGCATCCGCGCAGACGCAGACGGAGAAGTATAAATTAGGCTTAAGTGCGTAATGAGTGGGTGACTCAGGGTATTGGTCATTTTAATGAATTCAAGTTTATTTATTTGCACAGTGGGTGAAAATTAAAAGTTAAAAACAAAGAGAAGTCCATTGGTCTTTATAGTCACTGTTGTTTTGTTTTTCTGCTAAATTAAATAAAATATACATACATTATCTGCACTCTGTTTCTTCCAGCTTCCTCTGGGTCTCAGGATCAGCGATCCTCTGGTTTCAATTGATAAATGAGTAAAAAAAAGTCTAAAAGTGTTTTTCTTGGTGCTTCTTCAACTGAAAATGAAGAACTGTCAGGCTAATTGAAAGATTAATGATGCAAACTGTAATTCCTTTGAGTTTACATTATGCATATTTATATGGAAAACACCTCTAATTTCACGTAGTAGAGCATTATACAGCACAGAGGGGGAGAGCTGTTTAGCAGAGGGGGAGAGCTGTTTAGCACACATATCTCGACTTGCTGCTATCAGCCAAGCACAAGGCTTTATCAGCTGCAAAGCTCCGGCAGAAGGAGCGTATCTACTCAGCACAGAGAGCAATATGAAAATTAGTCTCCCCTTAAAATGAGAATTTATGCATTCTTTTAAATACATGTAATTTGTAGCAGGCTGACTCAGTGCTTTCTTTGTATGTTCCTAAAAGGATGACTCTCCTTGTTCAGAGGAAAACAGCTAATTTTAACACGTATCTTCCAGATAAAATATATTGTAATTAAAAAAGCACACTTTCTAAAACAAGAATTTTATTAAACAAGAATGAATAAGTTTTATAAAATCTCACTTGTTCTGGAGTTTATCTCTTACATGTTGTTGTGTGCTTATCCTGATCACGTGGGTAGCAGCTATTGCAGGATAGTCCAGACTGCCAACTGTTACCAACTTTCACTTCTCTGGTGGAAGCCCCACCAAGTTTCAAAATTGAACCACCACCCAAGGGTGGAGGAGGGTAGGTGACACTGTCTGGGGCAATATGCCAGATCGCCCACCCCTACTTAAAAATCAACTTTACTCATGTTTTTAATACATAAGTAAGTAATTAAGTAAAAGTTCATTCATATAGCACCTTTCACAGATATAAATCACAAAGCGCTGTAGTAGTAGTCTCTGGTAGGATTGGATGTCTTGTAAGTCATTATCTGGGCAAATATGTTACAGTGCACCTGTTTGAGGACATAGAAGTCAGCTGAAGGAAAGGACTTCAGAGGGCAGGATCTGTAGTATTTCCTGATATCTGGACATCTTGCCTCTGATTGGTTAAAAGCAATGTGACTCTGCCATCGACTCTGTTTGCTTTGCAAATGAGGTTTTTTTTTTAATCTCCACAAATAACACAAGCCTGGAGGAGTTCTACCATGTTGGGGAGTCGCTAATGGTTAGCTTCTGTTAGTTTCCATTTTCCATTTCAATTTATTTATTTAACAACAGTGCACATTAATAAACATTTCTGTAAATGTGCCAGTGTTAGCCAGCAGGCAAATTTTCAACTGTAGTCCATTGGCAAGATGTTATACTAAGCACATGACGGCTAAAAAGAAAGACCATATTAAATCAGCATAATAAATAGCACAATAATTAATATACAACAATAAAACACAATGCCATTGCACTTACTCGATTAAAACATAAAAACAGAAAAACATATATTCATATAACCATACAACTCATTTAAGAATCCAAAGTCGCCATACATCCATCAATCTCTCATCCATATAATAGGTTACACAATAAAGTCTAAAAACAAACATCCAATGATTATTATGAGAGGTGTTAACATTTTTGTGTGCTTAAAAGCCAGTTCTTAAGACGGAATGTATGGTATGAAGTAGAGTTTCTAATGTCCACTGGTAATTGATTCCATAACTTAGAGGCTCTCACAGAAAAGT